GATTACAATTATGAGATATAAGTTTAACAATAAATTGACCGAGCCTCTAAGACAGCATTCATGTCGAAGCCTCTACAACAGTCGCTTAATCTTTGCAAATTAGCAACTTCAAAGCAGACACTGAAAGACTAACCTGTATATACACGCGCAAATCATTTAACAGAAAGAAAGACGATGGGCTCAGAAAAAGCAAACGACGGGAGGAAATTGAAAGCGAAAAAGGAAGTAGTCAGGGTTTTAGAAAAGGGAGGATAACATCATTGTTAGGAAGAATTAGTCACGTCAGGATTCTAGATCACGCAATCGATAATAAATTTTACACAAGGAGATCATCACAACTTTCATGTTAATTACAGTCTGTTGTTAACTGAGAAGTTAGGGAAAAAGGTATCCGTAACTAAATAGAAAAATATTCAGCCCAGATAGGTTTGAGCTTCGATTTTATGGACTGCAAATCTCCACTCCAGTCAGAGGAAGGCCCCAGTCATTTGAGGACATTACAATTGACTTTTGCAGAGTATTTTCATTGCTTTTGTGATTATCTTCGCATGGCTTAGTGTAAACGTAGATCTGATTTCATTAGGGCCACGAACGTGACATTTTCTTGAACGGGGAAAACACTTACAAAAATTTTATCTCTAACACTCACATATCGGACAGGGGCACGAAACGACGCTTTCCTCCTAAATGCATTGCAAACACTTTTTAGGCTATCCAGAGTACTTTTGGATCTTTAGAAATACACTCTAACACCGCTTAAAATTTATCTCTGTTCGGTCGTCATCCTAGGGCAACTGGACTGTTTTCGAAATTACCAGGGCTTCGGTATCATTTTCCCGAAAATTTTAGATGCAAGTTAACGTTTTACAACAGTGGGAATTTTTCCAATTCCTCTTTCCATCGCATTTTCAAATCCGAAAATTTTAGTTTCCTTTTTCTCCGAAAAATAGCATAACCTGGGGAGTGAGGTGCGAACAATTAACCTTCAGAACTGCATGCCAACTGTCGTTGGGTGCCCCCTTTCGGAATCGGTCAGTGTAAAACGCAGACTGCGGACTGCAGACTGCAGACTGCGGACCAGGGGTAAAATGCAGACTAAGTGTAAAATGCAGACTGCAGACTGAGAGTAAAACGCAGGCTGGGGTAAAATGTAGAATAAAGACTGTAGACTTTTTGAAACATTTGTGCTCCAAATCGGTAGCCGCTATCAGTTACACACTTCGCTTCCTAGTCGAAGTGCTTTGCCCATTCGCCAGAAGTTTCAATGAACATCCGAACAGCTTAAGTCTGCGTACCTTGACTTGCAATACTTTCATAGAAAGTCATCCAAATTTCCCGCAGAACATCTTTCTTTGTTGTTGGGATGATTTACTCCCCGTTTTTATCGCCATAATTCTTCCTGTACAGTGTTTTGGGTCAGCAGCTTTCATTTAAGCGTAAACATCGTGGTGTTGTACCAGTTCACGGTCCCTGGTCACGTATATCGAAAACTTGGCATCTAAAGTTGAAGCGTGAAGTCTCTCGGAC